AAAATATGCAAAAGATGTACTTACTGGCCATTGTTCCGTAAAATACAAAGATGACTTATTTTTTCTTCCATGTAATGCACTTAATTCGATAGACACTGACTGAACACCTATGATCAGGTAATGTTCTGGGGCCTGGGACATAATGGTGACTAAGAGCGTCTCTGCTCTCACAATATTTACTAATCTACTGGAAAAAGCAGTCAAGTAAGTAAATTATTACATAGACATGGAAGAAAAGAAAACTCTTGAATAAATCCTTTTGATATTTTATTCTACAGGTTTCATTGATCTACTTCAGGGGTTGACATTTTCTGTAAAGAGCCAGACAGTAAATATTTTAAAGTTTGTGGGCCACAGAGTCTCTGTTGCAACTACTCACTGCCATTACAGTGTGAAAACAGCCACAAACAATACAGATACCAGTGAGCCTGGCTATATTCTAATTAAATTTTATTTACAAAAATAGGAATGGCACAGAACTGACACACTGGCTAGAGTTTCCCAGTGCCTGATCTAGTTTAAAGAGCTAATAGTAACTACGAAATAAAATCCTAAAGCACTTTCCAAAGCACAAATGAAAGCAGTTCAACTAGTTCAGATGCTACTTTCCTATTTTCTGAAAACATTTAATTTATATTTATTTAATTGATTTCAAAGTTTTTATAACTGGAAAAGAACCTAAAAAATAACTAAGTACTCAGCCTTAATCAAAAGGGTATGACTTTGAGTCTGCTTCTTTGTGGACTCAGAATCATATATGAATTCTTTTTGATTCTGTCAATCTGGTACAGAATAATCATGAAAAAATGTAAGTTTGGCTTCTGTATCTTTAGAAATAGAATATTACTGCCACCTAGCTCCATAAAAATAAACTATAATGAATAAAGCACATCCACAAAGCCTGAACAAGATAAAAACAGTACAAGTTTTAATTTTACCATTGGTAAAGGTATTTCCTCTTCTCCAGTCTTCTGGGAACCAAGGAGAGAAATGAATGAAAAATCCTCTCTTGATAATAGAACCTGATATGCACTGCTCACCTTCCAGCTCTCTTTTCAATATACACAGATTAGTTGTCTTGTGTTAGCTAGTGAATAAGCTTTTCATTAGTAATCCACTGAGTATCTCAATGCACTGGTGAGTGTCCTCTGATGAACAGAATGTGGCTAGCCCTCTCTTCAAAATAAAAAAGACCTTTTAATTTCAAAAGATAAAATATGTTTGTTGGAAAAAAAATCACACTAAAAAAAATTGTAAAAAGGAAAAGTGAAAGTGCCACCCTATATTTCTGTCCACAAAAAGGCCACTGTTACAAGTTTGGTGGGCAGCCTTCTAGGCTTTTATTTTCTATGCTTGTCACACACATATCTATATACAATTGTTGAGTTTATGAATTTACTTTTTTCTTTTAAGCAAAAATGGTATCTTACTTTGCACATGGTTCTCCAATTTTCTTCATTTAATATCAAAAACTTGTAAATTGTTCCTAGTTTCTATTTAATAAAAGATTTCTTTAAATTTGAAGTTATAGAACAGAAATTTTTTAAAAACACAGTTAAATTTCCAGTAAAATTTCCTTCAATGCACTCAATTTAATTCTAAATAGCTTCATGATAGAAAAAGTTCCTTATAATTCCCACTAATAAAGGACCTTATATTTCCCATCTTAAATGGAAAACAAAAAAAGGTTGCAACACTTACCAATATATTGTATTTTAATAGAAACATATACAATTCATTCAAAAAGTATTTTAATATAAACATCACTTGTAAACAAAACCAAATAATATTGACAGTCTAGTTCTAAAAAATTCCTGGTTTCTCTAGAACACTAAGATGCCACTTCAATAGTAATTGCTTCACATTTTCCAGTCTCTTGATCTGTGCACGTCACATGTAAAGATCCATCCCTAAACAAACAAACAATAACATTTCATAAGCTCATTTCATAAAAGCAGAAAGTTCTTAAGAAATTATTTGAGGACTTTGAGTAACAAGATAATTTTAATTTTTGAGAGTATTAAGATAAAGAAGTAACACAATTTCAGTGTCTAAACTTAAGTATCATGTGCTATAATTAGGTAGCTATTCTTAAAAATTTCTTCCTAGACCAGTGACACAAAAGTTGTATTCCTTGAAAACCATGACGATCAAGATCTCAAGTTTAAGACCTTATGCACACTGAAGATGCATCATGCCATCTTCAAGCCTAGGCCAAGGCAAAACTACTCTAATGAATTTGACATTCTTGCTAAGTATGGTTATGGAATGAATTGTCCCTAAAGTTAATTTGGAAATGATTTACTTGCAAGACATAGTCCTATAGATGGCCGGTTATTAGTGGAGTGGTAATAGCTGGATTTAATTAGTAATTTATTTCCTAAAGATTTTCTGTAGCAATACTGAAATAAACTTATCCTTTCATAGGACAAATAATATCAGTTATGTAGAAGATTTTATTTAAGATTGATAAAAATTATATCTCAAACTTCACGGACCAGTTTTTTAGGCTGACCACACAATTAGAGTTCATAAAAAATTCAGAATGCAAATGATTTGAGATACACTTTCTTTGTAAAATATAGCAGTTTTGTAGGGCAAAAAATGTAACTCACTGATAAAATCTTTGCAAGCTTTAATACACGATTTTCCTAGAATGGCAATGTGTGAAGAAATCAATAAACTGACAAAAAAGGTCAAGCCTCACAGTGAATTTTCTGAACATCAGAAGTAGTTTAATTTTGTACCTTTTCATAGTAAGAACAGCTAATATATCACGTAATCCATTTTCTTTTTTATCTAGATCCTGGAGTACAACCTGTTTATGCAAAAATAATATAAAGATGATTCAGTACTTTGATATATTAATAAACTGATGCAACAGTTATTCCAATGCACCAAATCTTACTTATTACTGAAACAAATCTTTTAAAATAGGGCAGTTTTCAGAGAATAGGATTAAGCTTTCTTAATGGAACTGTCTCCTCTAGGAGAGCATATAACTAATAGATTTGTTCTTCTTAAACATATCGTAGATTATGAAGTATACTTTGTCTCAGAAAATAAAGACTGCTTTTCTTTTTGGTAATTAAGCCATTACCAGTAACATGTAAATTACATTTTGGCATATACTTCTATATATACTTTTAAAAACTCCAATATTTTAAATACACTTGGAAAACCAATTTAAAGAAACACATGATGACAAATTCTTTTGTACAACTAAGATTACATTTGTACGTAAGAGATACTAATGAGGGGTGCCTGGGTGGCTCAGTCATTAAGTGTATGCCTTCGGCTCAGGTCATGATCTCAGGGTCCTGGGAAAGAGCCCCACATCGGGATCCCTGCTCGGTGGGAAGCCTGCTTCTCCCTCTCCCAGCCCCCTGCTTGTGTTCCCTCTCTTGCTGTCTCTGTCAAATAAATAAAATCTTAAAAAAAAAAAAAAAAAAAAAAGAGATACTAATGAATTTACCAAAAAATTCTTTAGTTTCCTAAAGAAAGGTATACCAATAAACCAAGTTTAGAAGTGACTTTTCAGATTTTGCCAGTATCAAGTCTTATGATCTTAGGCAAGCACTAAGTACCTTGGTTTACACATTGTAAAACACAGAGATTAGAACAAATGGGATCTCTAAAAGAGTATCTTCTAAATTCAGTATTAGGTGACTAACTCTTCTCCTTCTGGCATCTGTAAGTTAGGATATGGTGACAGTAGCTGCAGAGTTTCGGAGTAGTGTATGAAGAGAAAAGGTGATAAATGTACAAGAGAGAGAAGCTAAGGGAATGCTAAGGCAGCCAAGTGAGTTTAGGAATAGAGTACACAAAAAAGTGCTTATATAGTAATCCACGACAGAAACATCTTCAACTTTAGTAGTTGAAGGAGCCCTATTCCCCTAGATTCTAAGATGTTTGAGGTGGAGCCCAGATAGGTTTTATGTGTGTGTTTTCACTATTCTTTTGTTGAATTAGAAAACAGATATAAAGCTGAAGATACTATGCATTCCCTTTGGTGACCTACATTTGTTTTATTTTCACTATAAAAGTATTTCATGCTCATGTCCTGTGCTCTTTGTTAGAAATTTAGTACAAAGTGTTAAAAAGTAAAAAAAAATCAAAACAACAACAACAACAAAACCCCCAAAAAACCCTCTTGGTACCTTCAAATCAACCCAATGTTAAGTTTTCTAAATATAGTGCTAATACTTATAGATATTTTCTGTATCCATGCATGGATATTTATATACACACACCTACCCAAACACTACCTCCCTCACACACACCCATGCTCTTCAAACTTTTTATTTAAACACAAATGACATCATACTGTATATACGGCTCTGTAGTCCCTGTATATGTGTTTTACTGTAATTATATTTCTTGGGCATGTTTCTAAGCAAATAAAGTGGCTCCACTCCATTCCTTTTAAAGGATGCAAAGGACTCTATAGTATGAAATAGAAATGTGGTATTTTGAAAAAGTAAAGGTATCCTGTATGAGAGGCGGCAAGGGCCCAGGAGTAAAACCAACTGAGGATAAATCTTAGCTCAAGGAAAATAAGGTGTTTACTACCATGAGCCTGTTTCTCAATTATCTATGAAATGAACCTAATACTGTCTATCTCATGGCATTTTGAGATATTTGTAAGTTGCCTGGTATAGCACTTGGCATAAAACCAAAAAATGTCATTTTCCCTGCCACTTACATTTTACCAAGGAGGGTAGAGAGCACAAAGACAAACAGAAAAAAATACATATTGTATTTTGTTTTTATTTTCCTGTAACTTTTTCAAATTAAAATTGCTTATTTCTTTTCTCTTTTAAAAGTAAGTAGAAGTAATCCATTCATAAAAATGTGTTAGATAGATGTCTTATATACATTTATATTAATTGATATTAAACTGAGTCTAATGAAGAAGGAAAAGCTAAACAGTTTCACATGACTAGTTCATTGCCAAATTTATGTATTCACCTGTGCAAATTTGTCTTCTTCTTTTGCAGAGTTTTTCCCCTCAGACTCATAGAGTTCAAGGCATACTGAAGATATACTTGCGGGGGCTTGTAATGTGTGTTGTCTTCGAGCTGGCAAAGGAGTTCCTGATGGGAACAGTACTGTGAAACTGTTGGCTCCTGATTCATCGACTTCCTAATAAGCAGAAAAATAATATGCATATTCTTCGATATCTATCATTACAAAGTTACTCCTATAATAAATATAATACTTAATCCTTGTTGATAATCTAGAAACTAGATAGGCAAAGAGAAGAAAACAGAAGTGATCCTTAATCCCAACCTACTTCATTTAAAAATAAATTGAAACATGTATCTATCTCTATTTGAAGCTTATGATTAAAATTATAAGAAATTAACATGTTAGATAAATACTAACTGAAAGAAAATGAGAAACTCATTAAATGTAAAATTATAAATCTATATGTAAATGTAAAAATTTAAAATTTTTACCAATATATAAAGTTTCACTGTAAAACCATGGTACGTATAAGAACTTACGGCAATAAGTCTATGCTACTTTTATGGAAAAGTAAAGAAAAGCTAAGCCTACCTTAACTAAAATATCTTTGGCTGAACACTCTATCTTAAGGGAGTTTTCCACTAAAAGGTTTTCTTTCCCAATAAGAATCCCTGCTTCTATAGCTGCACCAATAGGGATGACTTCATCAGGAGGGATAGAATTCAGAAGCTCAACAGTTGGGAAAAGATCTTTAATCAGTTGCTGTAGCCTTGGGATTCGAGAAGACCCTCCACAAAGGACAACCTAGAAAATAAAAATAATTTTCAGTTTTTTACTTTTAGAACAATGGCCATTTCTCAAAATTAAGTGTTATAAGTTCAGCCATCCTTACCGCATGTAATGGTAAAATATAGGAAGCCCCATTTTAACATATTATTTTATGTTGTAGTTACCATATATATATAAATATATATTTAATGCATTTTAAGTATTTAACATATTCTTTACTCATAAAAACAAAACTTAAAATGAAGAGATCTCACCACACAGTAGAAAATACAATATAGCCACAATGTGGCTTGTGATTAATACTGGGCATAGGAGGCTTAACCATAAATAGGCATTTGAATAGGAAATAATATATTAATACTTTGTCCTATTCCAACACTACTAAAAGAAACGATTATATAAATCGTACAGCATTTTTGTGACAAAATGAATATAAGCAATCTATGTGAAAACTATGCCACAGATTTTTGTCTTTACCATGGAAGAACACTGAATTTTCTGAGGAAAAAGATGTTTTACAAAACTACATTTTAAGCTCTTGGTCCATCTGGTTAAATATGTTGTCTCTGAAGATTTTCATATAAAATTGCTCCTTTATGAGCTTGTCCACACAAGTGCCCCAGCATTTATGGCTGCCACCTGAGGGAATGGGGCTCCAAATCACCTAGCTCTGATGATCAAAGGGACTGGCATTCATGAGTCCCATAGGACTATCACAAACAAAGAGGCAGTTTTTAAATGGTTAAGGAGCATCCCTTGCCCAGTGGCTATACACCTAGTCTCAGCATAGAGGGAGCCAGGCAAAAATGCCCATTTCCCAGTTTATCCCTGGAAGAGGTTTGACTGCATACTTTCCCAGCTGCTGCTTGAGAGTCTGGCTTCCAATCAGCTTGTATCTAGGTGCTGACTGCAATCCTCCTCTTTGGGACACTGATGGTCTTGGCACACTCTCAACTACTGAGAGCCACTAAGAACAAAGATGGCAGCTTAGGCATAAAGGTTTGAGAGGCAACCAGGAGCTTGGGACTGGGGTGATTGACAAAGTTAATTTCTTATGTAAGACCAGTGTGTCAAGACTGGAAGATGTGGCAGTTATATGTAATGCACAGAAATCAACATGGAGAGTCTCTCTCTCTCTCTCTCTCTATATATATTTGTTTGGAATATATATAATTTTGTTTGGAACATATATATATATATATATGTTCAGTGTTCCAAACAAAAATAACAAAATAAATCCTCAAAAACCGATCTTAATGAGACAAAGATAAGTGATTTTCCCAATACAGTTTAAAGTAACAGTAATAAAGCTGCTTGCTGAAGTCAGGAGAGTAATGTGTGAATAAAGTGAGAATTTCAACAAAGAGATAGAAAATATAAAAAACTACCAAACAGAAATCACAGAACTGAAGAATGTAATAACTGAAAAATTCAGCACAGAGGTTAAACAGCACATTAAATGAAGGAAAAGAAAGGATTCGTGAACTGAGAGACAGGACAGAGGAATTCATCTAAACAGAGGAGCAAAAAGAAGAAAGAATGAAAAAGAATTAAGATAGCTTAAGGGACTTATAGGACAACAGTAAGTATACTAATATACATATTATAGAGGTCCTAGCAGAAGAAGAGAAAGAAAAAAAGGGGCAGAAAGTATATTAAAAGAAATAATGCCTTAAAACTTACCTAACCTGGGGAAAGAAACAGAAATCCAGATCTAGTAAGCCCCAAAATTACCAAGTAAGATGAATAAAGAGACCGACACTGAGACACATTATAATTAAAGTGTCAATGGGGCACATGGGTGGTTCAGTGGGTTAAGCATCCCTCTTGATTTCAGCTCAGGTCATGATCTCAGGGTCATGAGACTGAGCCCTGCATCAGGCTCATCACTGGGCATGGAGCCTGCTTAAGATTCTCTCTCTCCCTTTCCCTCTGCCCACCCTCCTGCCCTCCCCCCAAAAATGTGTCAAAAGTTAAAGACAGAGAGAATCTTAAAGGCAGCAAGAGAAAAGCAACCTGTTACATACAAGGGACCCTCTCATAAGATGATGAGCAGATATTTCAACAGCAAACTTGCAAACCAGATGTGAGATATTCTAAGTGCTGAAAGAAAAAACCTGTCAGCCAAGAATACTGTCCTGAAAAACTGATGGAGAGATAACGTGTTTCACAGACAAACGAAAGCTGATGGAGTTTACCAGACTAGCCTTATAAACAATGTTCAAGGGAGTTCTTCAAGTTGAAACAAAAGGATGCTAATTAATAACCTGAAAACATATGAAACTATAAAACACACTGGTAAACGTAAATATATACAGCTGACCCTTGAATAATTCAAAGGTCAGGAACACTGATTCCCTGCACGGCTGAAAATCCATGTATAAGTTCTGACTACCCCAAAACTTAATTACTAATAACTTACTGTTGACCAGTTATTGTGTTACCAATAACACAATCAATAAACACATATTTTACATGTTATATTATATACTGTATTCTTACAATAAAGTAAGCTTGAGAAAAAAGTGTTATTAAGAAAATCATGAAGGGGCGCCTGGGTGGCTCAGTCGTTAAGCATCTGCCTTTGGCTCAGGTCATGATCCTGGGGTGCTAGGATCGAGCCCCGCATCAGGCTCCCTGCTCGGCGGGAAGCCTGCTTCTCCCTCTCCCACTCCCCCTGCTTGTGTTGCTTCTCTTGCTCTGTCTCTCTCTGTCAAATAAATAAATAAAATCTTAAAAAAAAAAAAAAGAAAGAAAATCATGAAGAACAGAAAATCCATTTACAGCACTTTATTGTATTTATTGATAAAAAATCCATTTATGAGCAGATCTGCTCAATTCAACCTGTGTTGTTCACAGGTCAACTGTAGTTAAATTCAGCATACTCTAATATTGTAATGGTGGGGGTTGAGTCACTTATAACTTTAGTATAAAGGTTAAAAGAAAAAAATATTAAAAATAACTACAATAATTAATGAATGAAAACAGAATACAAAAAGATGTAAATTGTGACATCAAAAACATAAAGTGTGGAGAGGAGGAGTATAAAAATGTAGAGCTTCTGTATGTGTTCAAAGTTAAGCTGTTATGTCTCAAATAGGCTATTATAACTATAACATGTTTTATATAAGCTTCATGTAACCATAAAGCAAAAACCAATAGTATATACAACAAAAGATAAAGATATCAAAGCACATTACTATACAAAAAACCCATCAAATCACAAAGGAAGAAGGAAGAAAGGAACACATGAACTACAAAACAAAATTAGCAAAATGGTAAGAGTAAGTTCATACTTATCAAAAATTACTTTAAATTATTTTTTGTACACTAACAACAAATTATTGGAAAGAGAAATTAAGAAGACAATCTATTCACAATAGCAATAAAAAGAATAAAATACTTAGGAATAAATTTAACCAAGGAGGTGAACGATGTATACACTGAAAACTATAAACATATTGATGAAAGAAATTGAAGAAGACATGAGTAAGTTGAAAGATACCCCATGTTCATGGACTGGAAGAATTAATATTGTTAAAACACTACCTAAAGTGATCTAGAGATTCAATGCAATCCTATCAAAATTCCAATGGCATTTTCCATAGAAATAGAAAAGACAACCCTAAAATCCATATGGAACCACAGAAGACCCAAAATAGCCAAAGCAAACCTAAGAAAGAAGAAGGTTGGAGCATCACACTTCCTGATTTCAAAATATATTACAAAGCTATAGTAATCAGAACAGAATGGTATTGACATAGAAGCAGACACACAGATCAACAGAATAGAGAGGCCAGAAAAGAGCCCACACATAAATGGTCAATTAATTTTCAACAAAGGAACCAAGAATATACAACAGTAAGTAAGTGGTGTGGGGAAAAGTGGATATTCACAGGGAAAAGAATAAAACTGTACCATTATGTTATACCATATACAAAAATCAACTCAAATTGAAGACTTGAACTAAGACCTGAAACTGTAAAACTCGTAGAAGAAAACATAGGATTGCAAGCTCCTTGACATTGGTCTTAGTAGTGATTTTTTGGATTTGACACCTGAAACAAAGACAATAAAACCAAAAATAAATAACATCAAACTAAAAAGCTACTGAATAACAAAGGAAACCATCAACAAAATGAAAAGGCAACCTGTAAAAAGGGAAAAAATATTTGCAAACTACATATCTGAAAAGGGGTTAATATGCAAAATATACAAGGAAGCCATAAACTCAAAAGCCAAAAACCAAACAACGTAATTAAAAAATGGATGAAGGACTTAAATAGACATTTTTCTGAAGAAGATATACAGGTGGCTAACAGACACATGAAAAGATGCTCATCATCACTAATCATAAGGCAAATGCAAATCAAAACCACAATGAGATATTGCCTCACACTCGTTAGGGTGGCTCTCATCAAAAACACAAGAGATAACATGTACTGGCAAAAATACAGACAAAAGGGAACCCTTGTATACTGCTGGGAATGTAAAATGATGGAGCCACTGTGGAAAACAGTACGGAAATCCCTCAAGAAATTAAAAATAGAATTGCCATATGATCCAGCAATCCCACTTCTGAGTATATATTCAAAGGAAATGAAGTCACTATCTCAAGAAATATGTGTACTCT